GCCCGCAGCTGTGCTCCTGGCGCTGTGGAGGATGCCACAGGGTGCGCAATGCCCCTGTCATGGAATCCCAGAATTGTTTGGGTTGGAAAAGCCCTTTAAAATTACCAAGCCCAACCATTCACCTAACCCTGCCATCCCACCCCCAAACCCTGTCCCCAAGTACCTCCTCTTCCTGGTTGTTAAATCCCCCCAGGGATGGGGACTCAACCCCTTCCCTGGGCAGCCCCTTCCAGTGCCTGACAGCCCTTGCGGGGAAGGATTGGTTCCCAATGTCCAACCTAACCCTGCCCTGGCACAACTTGAGGCCATTTCCCCTCATCCCCTTCCCTGAGAGCAGAGCCTGACCACCTCCCCTGGCTCCCCCCTCCTCTCAGGCAGTTGTAGGGAGTGAGAAGGGCTCCCTTCAGCCTCCTCTTCTCCAGGCTGAATGCCCCCATCTCCCCCAGCTGCTCCCCATCAGCCCTGGGCTCCAGACCCCTCCCCAGCTCACGTTGCCCTTCTCTGGACACACTCCAGCCCCTCCATGTCCTTCTGGGAGGGAGGGACCCAACACTGACCCCAGCATTCGAGGGACGGCCTCACCAGTGCCCAGGACAGGGGCACAGTCACTGCCCTGTTACTGCTGGCCACACCAGTCCTGATACAAGCCAGGATGCTGTTGGCCCTCTTGGCCACCTAGGCACACTGCTGGCTCATACTCAGCCGGCTACAATCCCCATGTCCCCTGGGCAGGAGCTGTTGCCGCTAGCAGGAGGAGAGCCAGTGGATCTCCCAGTGCTCACCGAGTCATGGCTGGAGCAGGTGTGCAAGCTGCTTCAGACACCCCCTCAGAAGGCGAACCGGAGAGAGCTGGCCGCCTTTGTGTCCTACGCCATCATCTTCCCACAGGACTTCCAGGGGCTGCTGGACACATACTGCGTCAGGCGGTGAGGACACTGGGGTCCCCCCCAGGGTGGCTTTGCCACCATGGCAGAGGGAACGGATATGTCCCTCCTTGCTTGATGGCCTTGAAGGAGTGATGTTTCCACCCGGCCACATCCCCGTGCTCTGCTGTTGCACAACACAGAGCTCAGACCTGCTGCTGGACCTGTCCTGGGTCCCTGTCCCACCAGGCAGGGGACAGTAACCATCTCCTCGCCCATGCCAGGAGCGGCTTGCCGAATTTCTGTGCCGTGGCACTGGCCCTACACCAGCTGGGGTACCGGGCCATCGGGGTGCGCCTGGACAGCGGGGACCTGGCCCAGCAGTCCAAGGAGATCCGCCGAGCGCTCCGAACCTGCGGTGCTCAGTAAGTCCCCCCCTGCCAGACCCACGTTGGCTGCCACCGGTC